AAAAAGAAAGAAAATTCAAAGATAAATTCATATAATTGAATATAGAAACTAAAAACAATTAAACAAGAAATTAAAGATGGAAAAGTGCAAGAATAATAAATAACAAAGAAAACTTATTTTTCTAAAGTAAAAATTGAGGTTAAAATTATTTATTATTTGGGTGATGTTTTTTTAGTTTTTTTTTTCTATTATATTATTTATTTGGTGATTCACTTTTAATTCGAGCATGCTTGAAAAAGTTTTATTTAAATAGAAATAAAGCATGTTGAAGAAACTGATTCGCTCACTTCTCAACATAATGAAAACCTAAAGATGGGGTTTACCATAATTGGTTTATTTGTTTTATTTGGTAATTCACTTTTTTGTTATATTTTTTTCTGTTATTGAACCTTCTTAATGAAATTTGAATAAAACTCAATATATTGTTGTAGTGAAAATAACTTGACAAAGAAAAATTTTATAACATAAAAGAGCTTAAAAAGTAATGTTAAGAGAAAAAAAAAGGGGAATAAAAATCTTAAAAATTTGAGATAAAGAAAGATGGATATTGAGATGATGGGATATGGCTCAAATGAAAGTAATGAGCCATTTGATATTGATAAGGTCCTTGAGAAGCTATGGAATGGGGAGCCAATTACTGAATTGAATGTTGAAGATTTATGTGATAAATGTAGAGAAATAGTATGTCAAGAGGGTAATATTATCAATCTTGAAACACCAATTACAGTTTGTGGAGATATTCATGGACAATTTTGGGATTTATTACAACTTTTTGCAGTTGCAGGTAAACCACCAGCGACCAAATATATATTTTTAGGTGATTATGTTGATAGAGGGTTTAATTCTGTTGAAACGTTTTTATTATTGGTTGCTTTAAAAGTTAAATACCCGGATAAAATATACTTAATTCGTGGTAATCATGAGAGTAGGGCAATTACTCAGATATATGGGTTTTATGATGAATGCCAAAGAAAATATGGAACATCAAATGTTTGGAAGAATTGTACGGATTTATTTGATTTTCTCACACTCGGTGCATTGATTAATAACAGAATATTTTGTACTCATGGAGGACTTTCTCCTATGTGTCAGAATTTAGATGATATTCGTAAAATTGATAGAAAAGTTGAGGTACCTCATGAAGGTGTTATGTGTGATTTGTTATGGTCCGATCCAGACGAAAGTGGAATTAGATGGGAAGAGTCTCCTCGTGGAGCTGGTCATCTTTTTGGAGAAAAACCATTACTTGAATTTAATGATAAAAATGGACTAGATTTTGTATGTCGGGCTCACCAATTAATTCAAGATGGATATAAATGGATGTTTAATGAAAAAATTGTTACTGTATGGTCAGCTCCAAATTATTGTTATCGTTGTGGAAATGATGCATGTGTTATGAACTTAAGGTCAGTTACTGATCGTGGTTTTACTTTTTTCAAAGAATGCCCTCCAGACCAACATAAGTTAACTGCAAAAGTAGTTGTACCAGAATTCTTTTTGTGAACTTGATGTTTTAAATTGAATGAATTTTTTACTTTTTTTATGAACAAATTTAATTCAAGAACAAAAGACTTAATTTAAAGGTAGACACTTGACAGCAATTCTTCAATTGAGGAATATCTGGTATAGAATAGAGAGTACTGAGCCTCTTCAATTTTTTCATCTAGTCTTTTGTGTCTGATTTTGTCACAGTATTTCTTTTTGGTTTCATGTTCTATTATTTCTTCCATTGTTGGGTAATAATACACAGAATGACTTAATGGTGGCGTTCCAATAATATCATCTTCATAGGCTTTAATGCTTTCATTATTTTTGTTATTACTATATCTTAGAATAAGTTCCTTGAGAATATCTCTTAATTGAGAGTCATCACAGCATAATGACCCATTAGAAAATGTAAACTTCACTAATGGAGTTTCCAAAGAAATACTGTTCATTAAAATTGATATCTTTTTTTGTGTAACTATTTTCCTAAATATGATTGTCCTTTCTTTTCATTGTTTCTTATGAACTATATCCAAATTAGAAGACAAATAAAAAAGAATTAAAACAAAAATATTAAAAGTTATTCATTAGTAAAAAGGAACTAAAAAAATAAGAAGATAAACAATAATGTATAAAGGACAGCCTAACTCAAGTGATACTGAAAGTGTTGTTAGTATAGAAGATACTGAAATTGATGAAATTATTCAAGAAATGTTTCCTTTAGAATATTTAGTAAAACAACGAGTTCATGTTGATGGAACTTTTTTTAAAGTAAAATATAAGAATACAATACTTTCATTAAAACAAGAAATGTTAAAATTTAAAGAACAACATCCAACAGATTTACATCCAATAACACATTTTTCTTTTTCATTGGCTAAGTCATTTCTTTATGATCAATTTGAGTATTATTCTTCAACACCTAATCAAGAAAGTGATATTAATGAAATATTAAAAGAAACAAGAGAGTCATTAGTGTCATATTATCGTTCAATGAATTTAATCTTTTCAACTATTCAACGACAATCTCCAAGCAATTTAGGAACATTTAGAGTAATTATTTGTACTTCTGTTGGTGGAATTAAACGATATCTTCAAAGTGTACAATGTTTATTTCAAAGTAGGTCTAAACCAGTTACTGTAGAATATGGAGATGACGTTCATCCAGGTGATATTATTTTATTTGGAGATGAACTAACAGAAAATGGAACAACTTCATTATTAGTATTTGCGTGGGGATGTTTTGAAAAACAAACAGAATTAAGTTATACTGTAAAAGTTCTTAGTCCAATAAACGAGTTTAAAGTTACTGGAATTCCACAACCTCGTAGGTTGTTTATATTTGAGAAATTAACATTTTCTTGTTGTGATAGTATGAAGATAGCAAAGTATTTTTTTGCACACATCACTGCTGAGTTAATGAAAATAGATTCAGGGTCATTAACACTTACTAGTTTTATTGAAGAACCTCAATTTTGTACTAGATGTAAAAATATCTTAAATTTTCCAAGAAGTAGTTGTGTTATGTGTCATGGGTGTAATAGGTATTATCATGAAAAATGTCTTTCTGCTTATGTATCGACTAATGAAGCTTATTGTTGTAAGGACTGTAGAAACAATTCTTTTATTTATTGTTATTTATCAAATCTACTTTACCCATTTAGAAAAATGAGACGTTGTTTATTTTGTTCTCAACCTTTTATTTCTGATAAAGAACTTGAACTTCGAGGAGTTGTTTCATTCACATGTTCAAAATGTTTATCACAGTTCCAAAATTCTATTTCTTCTTTATATTTCAGAAAATGTTATTCTGCAACAAATAGAAAAATGGTAGAGTTGTATCACAAAAATAAACAATTACAAAATAATCCAGTCTTATTATTAACTTATATGTTTGTATTAATGAGTGATATTGCAAGTGTTTCCGAACAATAAATAAATTTAAATTCTTAATTCTAATTAAAAATTATTTATTTTTTTTATACCTATATCTAAGAAGAAAAGGCTTTAGGTAACATAAAAGAAACCAACTGTTTAGGTTTTACAGTAGGTTGATTTGCTCCTTTATTAACTTCTTTAAATGAAGAAAAAAGTGAAAGGTCTACAAGAATAGGAGAAGAAGATTGGTAATATATGGCATAAAAACGGTCACACCTATTCTTTATCTTTTGGTCTTGAACTTTCTTGTAATTACTCCGTCGTTTGTTAAATTCATTCATCTTAGTATATTCACCTTTGTATGTTTTAATCAGAAACACTTTTTGATTTCTCAGTTTTTGGTTTAAATATCTTCTGTTTTGAGTTTTGTCAATCATTTTTGGTTTTTTTTGGATTTTATTAACTTTTTTCTTAATTTATTTGAGTTTAACTCTTTTATATAAATGACTTTTCGTTTCTATAGTTTATGTGGAATCTTCTTTTTCTTTTAGTAACTTTTTTTCTATTTAAAATTCAACAATTTTAGCTAACAGTAATCCTGAATTAGTAATTTTTCTTGGA